ATGTCTAGAATAGAATCAGGGAAAACTGGGAGTGTTCGATCTTAAATATTAAAATTCCATCTGATTCTGAGTGTACCTTCTCCTTCCTCTGAGCAGTGTTTGCCAACACATCAGAGGACGGACAAAAGGAAAAAGAAAAAACAAACCAACCAACAAACCAAAAGCAGGCCTAAAGGGTTACTGCTTAAGGATGAGTAACTACAGAGAGAAATAAAACAGTTCCTTTAAAACTGTAATAGGGGGCTGGTAAGCTCAGCTGTCAGAGCTTTTGCTCATCTTACAGAGGAGCCTGGAATGAAATTCCTAGAACCCCTTTTGGGTGGCTCACAACTGCCAGCAATTCTAGTTTCAAGGGATCCTGTCACCATGTAAGGTGTCTAGAATCAGTCAGTTTTCTCTGCCTGTTAGACAAATAAGAGGCAGGAAAAAGAAATCTAGAAACAATAGGTAGCAACAAGGGAAAAACATCTCAGACCCAGCTACACAACTGACAGTTGAAAGACACCTTTGAAAGGTGAAGAACAGCTGGGTGGGGCAAGGAAGGGATGGAAGGCAGAAGAAAGGAGGAAGAAGAGGAGGAGGAGTGGAAGGAGGAGTATTAGGGTCTTGGAGAAATCCCACGAAAGATCACCATCCACGCATGCAATCAACAAAGCATTTATTTCCTGGAGAATAAAGGTACCAGCATGCTGGGGCTGCACATCCTACATAAAGGCAACATGGTGACCATGAGAGAGGTTTGCAGCCTCCTTTTAAGCACAGCTAAAGGGGAGTTTCAGGGACAGTTAGGTCATCTCAGATATGACTGGGTTACATGACGGACAATCATATTAGTATATTCCTAGTTGCCTAGGGCTAACAAGGACTGCCTAAGGCTATAGCTTTTTCATTTGGGGGCAGGCCTGAACAAGTCCCAGGCTCTGTACTTATTGGTGATTACTTTGGGCTGCTGAATGTGGGGGCCGACCCAGTGACCCAGGTTTGGTACATGCTATCTCCCTCATCCCTGATGTCAGGGGCATGGAAGATGGATTGTTCCTTGTTCTTGGTTTCCTCAGAAACTGCCTGTCCAGTTTCACGAGGCAGGAACTGAGGCCTGGTTCTTAACTGAGTTATCAGGAGCCTGTCATAGTATTTGCCTGGCCTTCTCAAGGAGAAGCAGACTAGGCTGGCCTCTCCTGGAGGGCTGAGAGCTTTAATGGTCTTTCGTGGTCTTCTCCCAATCAAGGTTGGCCAGCATAAACAAAGAAAGGCTACTTGGGCTAAACATGTCCTGATCTGCCTTTAAACTTATCTGACTTGTTGATCCAGAGCAGGTGGCAGGTCTACTGATTGGAACAAGAGCTGCCCAGATTGTGTCTTCAGTTGCTCAGTTGCCAGGCCTTTGTCATTAGGTCTGGGAGGTGAGGAAGAAGCTGGATGTTTGACATCTGCATTACTTGCCTGTGTCCCCTTTCCATATCTGTGTGCCTGCATGGACTCTGACTAACCCCTAGTACCTCAATCCAGTACCACCTTCAGGCCTCTGCCTGTATGTGGTGTACACACACACACACACACACACACACACACACACACACACACACACATCTTAAAAGATTCTAATTTAAAAGAAATATGAAGCATGAACTAGAAAGTGAACCCCGGCCTTCAGCCCTTTTGCCATGCCGGTGCCTTTAAAGCGATGCCATTGGGTTGAGATAGATGCCCTCGGTAATATCATCATAGTTTGTAGGTATAGTCATCATTCAATAAAACTCTACTGAAACTACGTCTGTGTGTTACATGTCAGAAAGATTGATTTTTTTTTTCAAAAAGGTTTTTAAAAATACAAAGCGGCCACCGCAGCACACCCGAAACATTGCTACAAGATACAGTGTGTGTGGAATCCTATAGGAACCGTTTTCTCCTGTCAGTTGTGACAAAGCTGAACCTGGTGACCCAGAGCACGGGAGGCAAGAGCAGTAGGACCAGAAGTCCGATGTCAGCCTCAACTACACGAGATCCCGTCTCCAAAAGGAATGAACAAGTACATAAAATTAAAAGTAATGGGTTTCGTTTATCTTTTGTTTTCTAAAGAGGTTCTCACAATGTATCTCAAGCTGTCCTGGAACTGGCTCTATATTATTGGCCATTGGGTACAAACTAACAGCAATCCTCCTGTCTCACCCTCCTAAGTGGGGTGAAATTATGGGCTTGATTTCCTGTCTCATCACTGAAATTAAGGATGAAATTCTGTATGCAGCTACATAGAATGGATTGTTTCTCAGGTAATCAGTTATAACTCACATTTTTGAAAAATGAGCTTTTAATTTTGTCCTAGTGACTTTCATGAAATCAAACATTTATCATTATCTGTTGTGGACCCCATTGTCTTGGTATTGTTATATAATCAATACTGATGAGTCAACCAAACGAACATTCTGAGTATTTTGGCCCCTTTACTTACAAATTTGTACACCAAGTCCTGCTTAATGCCTAAACAAATGCTATGGTCAAAATGACAGACAACAGCCATAGGTCAAAGTCAATTTCTGTTTCAAAGACCCTTTCTAGATTAAGTGTGAGTTATGTACATTTGGTTGAGGTTTGGAAAAATACCAGAAATCTTGATGTCATTCTACAAAAGTTGCATGGTTTTGACTTTTAAGATATTTACAAAGGAAAATTTCTGCTTCTATATATTGCCACCTTTCGTCTTAAGAGATCGGCACAAATGGTGCTTCCTAGTGATCTACACTACTCAGGATTAAAGAGCAAATTAGAAGGACTACATGAGGGAGGTAGAGTTTTATTTATAATTTCATATATGAAGCATTTAAATGACACTTCCATGAAGTTCTCAGTTGCTGTGGCTTTGATTTCCCTCTATAGTTAAAACAAATTATGACATTAGAGCCAGGGCTTTAATCACAGCATTAATTCAGCTCTTTCCCTTCAAAGCCTAATATGCTGAGACTCGGGGAACTTGGTGATTTTCTTAGGGACACGGGTAAGTCAGAATTTAATCATGGTCCATGATTTGCAATTCAGTGCCCAAGGAGATTGGATTCTCCTACCACAGCATGCCTCTTTAAAGCAATAAGTTGTCATCTCTGGAATGAAAAGGATCCCGGGTCCTGTAAATAAGCAACAGTCTCTTTCCAGTGGAAAAAATAATGACGAGAACAGAAATTCAACACACTGATAGATCAGCTAGTAGTTGTAAGTAGTGTTTTAAAATGTGTCACTGATTTAATTAAATAGTTATTTGGGTATCATATGTGAATTTTTTAAAGGATTAATGATATACTAATTGAGAGCATTCTAGAACTCATAAACTCAAAAAAGTATCTTTTGGAATATCTTCTAATTAAAGCTCATGCTTTGCAGACAGCAGAGTCACACAGAAAAGTGTGAACCTGAAGATTTCCCTTCAGCCCTGTCTGCATGTTCTAGGTTGAAACTTAGACCATAGTTCAGGGTAGCACTGTGGTGAAGCTATTCTATGTGCATGCATCCTCTTGCCTCGAGCATCTAACTCTTCTCTCCACCACTCAGTGACATTCCTTCAGGGGTAAGGTGTACACAAAGAAAAGCTTGAGTCCAGGCAAGTTCATGGCCCTTTCTCCATCTTTTATACCATGCACCGAGGAATTTAATCTTATATTCACACTGTTCAACTCTGTTCTAAATGGTGCACATATGGAGGAAAGGAGGTATTTTTAGACATTCTAATAATGGAATCAGTTTCACTCAAACAGTTTGTAAATATTAAAACCTCCTTCAAAAGCAATCTGGAAGCTAAATCTTACACAACTGCTTAGCAAAACATTTTTTTTGCCTTCAGCCTTTTAAACTGAGTGTACAATATTAGATTTCTGGACATGAAATGTTGTTCATAAACTTTCCAAGTTTTGGATCTATTAGCTGTTGCTGTAAGCTTCTAGTGTTTTCTCAGCTCTATCTCTTTTGGATCAGTCATGGTATCTTGGGATTCTTTGCAGAGTTTAAGAGCATTCTCACTCTAATTTTCAGCTTTTTGTTAAATCACATGTGTGGATATTCTAAACAACTGCTCAGCTTTAGCCCTAGTCCATCTATACTGATGGTTAAAAAAAAACAAAAAAAAACCAAAACAAAAACCCCACACATTTATTACAATGTGTTGAAGTGGGATTTTTATGGTCCACATAAAATTGCAAGCTTCTCCGGTAATGTATTATCTTTGTCTACGCTACTCTTGCTTTTCCATCAAAATTATTACATCTCCAGGGACAAATAAATTTTTTTGTCTCTGGGATACTTCTGGCTTTAATTTTTAGTTTAGTGGGTTTTTTTCATTGTTTTGCTTTGCCAATATATTTTAAGAAACACAAGGTTTAGATTGATATTCAAGCTAATACATAACAGTCCTTGTATTGGGTTCAAACCTTTACAAAGCCTCAGGAGGCTCACCAAGTGGAGCTAAGATTTTATTTGCTAAAATAGCTAAAATAATTAATACATTCCCAATGTATGAAATCTAACAATGATTTACCAAATGGATAGTAACTTACACAGAATATGTTTTGTTTCATTTTTAGAAGAAATGAGTTGAAAAATGATTTGGATTTCAGGTAAGTTTCAAAGTTGGAGAACATTGGATGAACATGAATCATGCTATCCTGCCGGATTCAAAGAGGTTGACTATGATTTTCATGATTTTTCTCTTTAAACACTGTTGAACTTGCTTAAAAAAAAAACATTCTGCTGTTGTCAATTTGATTTTTTCTCTCCCTCTCTTCCTTTTTCCATCAAAATTAAAAATGTAGGCCTTATCCAATGTATCCAGAATGTAAATGAATGCACAGTGCCCATGATATCTTCTTTCAGTCTGCAGAGTACTCTTCACTTAAAAACGGAAGACAACTCACACATCTGTGATGAGTGAATTTTGGAAGTTGACATTTCATTTCCTAAAATATATATAATATAATGGAATATAATGTAAGATGGCAATGGACTGAACTTCACAGCTAATAATACAATTTTCACTTTATTTTAAACATAGTTTGCATGTTATAAAAATACTGATCACAGTGAGCTTTACCAATTGTTATTGCTATAAAAATGAATGCAGGAACAATATTTTTAGTGGAAATAAATTATATAGTCATTCTTTTTTTCTTTTTCTTTTTTTTTAAATCACAAGAGAAAAACCTCAGCTGTCTGGTCACCGGTAGGAAACCATTCTTTGAAGAGGTCTTTTCAGATGAGTGCCAGTCCATTCCTGCAGCTAACCACATGGTTCAGGAAACACAGACTTGGGCCTCTGTCACCGTGGTCCCACAGAGTCTTTCTGTGCATAAACAGTTCTAATGTGGCAACAGTTTTTCAAGACAGTAAAATGATGAACTGAAAATTGGTATATCTTAGTTCATATGTGGTCTTTTCCAATATGATGGGACACAGCGACATACTTCTTCACTAAATGACAGTCCCGGATCACAATGCTTCAGTCGATTTGGACATGGTCGTCTATAACAACTAGAAAAACAGAGAGAAACACATCGTGAAGACCAAAGTAGAAAGTCATGATGCTAAAAATCAGCTTCTATGTTTTCTTAAGTTTGAACCAGGAAAAATTACTAATTTCATTATAAATGTGTTTCTAGGCTTATAAATGTTTAAGTGTGTGTTTAGGTTTACGGAACTGAAGAGGAGTGGGAAAGCCTTTAAAAACATGTCTCTCTTGCTGACATAGCAATGGAAAGCTGGGCTATTGTAAGCATTAATTCTTTTGAAGTGCTTTCTGCTTTGTGGATGAAAGTAACATAAAACAGAAATTTTGAAAGTGAGTATTTAAGGTCTGCTGATTTCCTGTGATCACATAAGCCTGGCAATGTTCACACAAGTCTGGGATGTGCCTGGGACCCAGACTTCCAGGCAATTAAACCCAGCCATCTTGGCAGGACCATAGTCTTTAGCGAGCAGCCCCATCCACACTCTTGTGTTTCCACCCCGCAGCTGGCTGGGTGATGGTGGATAACTCGTCTTTCTCCACCTGTACTCCGGATGGTAGGGGGACACATGAGCAGTTAGGGGCCCTTCTCCATCTACACTAGACTTCCAATTGCTGGGAGTGGGTGCAAGGACAAATTACTCATCATTTGACTTTTGCAAGTTCTGTTTGCTATAGTGAATTGACTCTAGCTTTGATGAATGCCATGGAAGAGGAATATGCCTCGCTGTGTAATGGACCAGAAAGGAAAAGAAAGGGTAAACTAGAGAGACACTTAAACAATTCACATTTCACCTCATTTGATGTAGAAAGGAAAGCACAGCCAATGATCTTTTAAAACACATTTAAAATTGTTAATTTTATTCATTTTATCATTGACAATTTCATGTGCATATATAATGCCTCCAGATTACTCTCACCTTTTACTCTCTCTTATCTCCCTGCCATCCCAGCAACTCCTTCTCTTCCCTACCAGCCCCTTTCACATATTCATGACTTTATTTTGGTTTATGAACCGTTCATTTTAATCATGGCCAGCTGAGTGATCACTGGATTGGAAGGATTCACTAGAGCCTGGGGAGGGAGTCATGATTGGGTATACAACTGAGAGCAACGAGCCCTCTCTCCCTGAATTACCAGGAACAAATAATTCAGCCATGAGGGACTGTGTTTAGCCTCTCCTTCATCCTTGACCCACATACATCTATTCCTGCATAACCCAGATGTGAGCATCTATAACTACAGTGAGCTTATAATTGGGACATCTGTGTCTTTCCTAGAAGAAGACAGTCTGCCACTCTTTGCTCTATCTTCCTAACTCTTACATTCTTTCAGTCCTTATTTCTGGAATGTTGTCTGAGCTTTAGAGGATGATGGTATAAAAGTCTCGTTAAGAACTTTAAAAATATTTATAACTACATAATGAATACAATTTATTTATTAGAAAAGCATAAGGTTCTCAGTGGCCAATGACAGCTGATGATTAAGGCAGGAAAAAGAAAACACACACTGCCAATCTTCATTGAAATATATATCAAGAGACATGTGCATGTGTATATTACAACTTTATAATATATAATATATATAATATATATACATATATATATATATATATATATAAACTATTTTTTATTTTGCTCCATCCATTTGACACCATAACATCGGGAATTATACCCTTATAAAAATGGGCACCCTATGACTTGCAGTAAATGTAAAGACTTAGCCTAGTGATATAGTTCAGGGCTGGGAGTATTGCTCCATGGCCACTTGCTCAGGACACTCCAACTTAAACTTTTGATACCAAAAAAGCAGGACAGAATCTTATGAAAAACTTGTTAAGCAAAGATATAAAGATATAAATATGATCTACTCAGCTAAAGTGACAGTTCTCCGTGGAAAATTATGATGTCCGGCTAATTTATATACAGTCACAAAAAAATTAAATTTGGCAATATGTACTAGATTCATTGAAAAAAAAGATTCAATGTGGAACATGAATCAGGTTTGCTGAAATGTTACAGCTGTATTTTTGTGGATATAATATTGTATTCTGGAAATACCATTTGCTATGCAGCATATGAATATGCAAGTAAAATTGGAAAATGTGTATTATTCAACATGTTTTTTTTAAAAAAGTATTAATTTTCCTGTAAGGAAGTCTGCAACAACTCAGGAGAAACAATATAGTCAATGAAATACCTGGATTTAGTGGTGCCCTATTATTCAGTAACTATAAATGACAAATCTTCAGAATTATAAGTTAAAATGAGAACACAAACTCTTGAGATCAAAAGACCGGCTCTACTTACTGAGGTATAAGATAAATGATAAACAGTCATGAGGATACAATATTAAAAACCAAAAGATAATGGCTTTTTTTAGACTTCGAAAGGGTACTGTCTGTCTGTATTTAAATGGTAGACAGCAGAAGATATTCAATGAAAGAGAAAAGTTAATGAACAGCGGGACACTAGAATCTCATGTACTCTGAGTAGAGAACTAGAAAAATGGAAACATTAAGGACATTCTAAATCAGTAGTTCTCAGCCTATGGTTCATGACCCCCATGGGGGGGTTGAATGATCCTTTCTCAGGGGTCACATATCAGATATTTACATTATGATTCATAACAGTAGCAAAACTACAGTTACAATATAGCAATGAAAACAATTTCATGGTTGGGAGTCACCACAACAGGAGGAACTGAATTAAAGGGTTGCAGCGTTAGGAAGGTTGAGAACCACGGGTCTAGATAAAATATGATGATCTTTACTGGATCCAGGAACTCAGAGGCTTAAACACAGTTTAACCGAGAGACCTGTGCCAGGCTAGAGTCCCGGCTGAGATTGGAGATGGAAGAGTGGAGAAAGCCATATGAAGTGGAGCAACTCTGACAAACAGCATGACGTGTTCTCAGCATCAAAGTAAGAGGTCAATAAAACAAAAGAAATCTGCAATCTTCATGAACTGAGGGAGCAGGAAGACAGAGCTGAGGATACTGAGATATCTTAAGCAAAAGTGTGGCTGCTGGGCCAACATTGAAGGAATATGGCAAAACCACTGAAAACAAAGATCTAGATTAAACAGTAGTTGTCTTTTTTCCCCATGAGATAAAAGAGATATAAATTCAGACATAAAAGTGGAAAGTCTTTGTGTCCATGAACCTCATTTATTTTTCTTGATGAAAAAGAGAACAAAACCATGCTGTAAAAAAATGACTGATGGTGCAGGAAAGATGTCTCAGTGGTTAAGTACTTGCTGCTCCTTCAGAGGACCCAGGATTAGTACCCAGAACCCAGACACTGACTTACAACTGCTTAACTCCAGTTCCAGGAATCCAGTGTCCTCTTCTGTCCTCTGTGGGCACCAGGAACACACATGGTGCACAGACACACAGACAGGCAAAACACCCATACAGGTAAAATAAAATAAAATTTCAAAAAAATGCATCTGGAGTAACTTCCAATGATTTCTCTTTTAATTTTTAATTATGTATTTATGTCTGGGTTTGTCTCTGGTTACATGCCATGTGGGTACAGGTGACCATAGATGCCAGAAGAAGGTGTTGGATCCCCTGGAGCAGGAGTTAAAGGCAGTTGTGAACTGAACGAAGTGGATGCTGGAAGCCATCAGGTTTTCTGACGGAGTACCGTGTGTTCTCAACCACTGAGTCGTCTCTCCGGTTGTTCAAGTGACTTTTAACAACATTTTAATTTATTGTCATAGTTAGCTTCATCAATCGACCTGACAGAAATCTAGAGGCATCTGAGAAGAGGGAACCTCAACGAAGGAACTGACTAGCCTATGCCCATGTCTGTGAGACATTTTCTTAAATGCTAACTGATGTAGGACCAGCCCACTGTGGATGGTACCATCCCTAGACAGGAAGGCTTTGGCCCTGCAAGGAAGTCTGGGAGCAAGACAATATAAAGTGTTCCTCCAGGTTTCCTTCAATTCCTCTAGCTTCTTTCTTGACTTCCCTCAGTGATAGACTGTTACCTGGAAGTCAAATAAGCCCTTTTTCCCCTAGTGGCTTTCGGGTATGAAATATTTTATCATAGCAACAGATAGCAAGCTAGAACATCTATCTAGTTCTCATTAAGCATTTAGTACAAATATGTCATTTTCTGATAAAATTCTGCAGGAAATGGTGCTGTGCTTTATTTTTAAGCATTAAAATGATGCACCAGAAGCATGTGGTCCTAAATTATACCTGGAAGTATAATTTTTGGAAGCATCAGACCTGGACTGCTGAATGCATTTCTAAAATAATATATACATTCTCTAAGAGAACTTATATAGGATCTGCTACATTAGTCTCTAGGACAAAGATTTAATTTTGAATATAACCTAGGCTTGTTTTTGTACCTTTTGTGTTCTAGGGTTGCTTTTGGGGTTAAGCAAGTCTCAAAGACCAAATGTGCTCATGTAATCCTGAAATCCCTCCAGTTCATGATACCAAGGCAGGAGTGTGCTACATTCTGAGTTAGCCCGGCTATATAGCAAAAGAAGCTAAAAATCTCACAAAAGTCTATTGTCAAGGAAGAATAGTATTGATTTAAATAACTGTATTTCTTTCTCAAATAATTTAATGCCTTCATTCTAATAAGCAGCTGCTAGTGTGGGTTGAGAAAAAGGCTCCTGGTTGAGAACATTGCATTTTCTAGAAGGGAATTAGCGCTGTTTTTCTAGACTCCTTACCTGCATGTTGGATGGTGGAATTTCTTCCCTTTTAGGAAGCACTTCTGTGTGTTTTCTGTACATTCACAAGCACATTTTCCGGGATTCAGGGGTTGGTTTCTAGGACAGGTTCTTTTACATACACACTGGCATGTGTTTTCATCAAATTCTCTGTTGGCTCCACATGAGGTGGGCAAAAGTTTGTTTTTACAGACACACTGGCATGAGTTTCTGTCTAGTTCTTTGTGGGGTCCACAGCTGGATGGCCGAAGCCCCCCTTTACAGACACATTGACAGGTATCTTCGTCCAGCTCCTTGTTGGGTCCACAGACATCATGGAATCCATTGGTTGCGTCTAGGAAAACACCATACATATTCACTGGGCCTTACTTGGTTCAGGATGTGACATAACATACACGCATTCATAACATCCTCCCTTTTAGTTTTTCAGTAAAGGAATGTATGTAAACATGTCTTTACATAAAAGTTAAAAGTAAGAGCAAAGGAAGCAGCTGATATCCTACTTTATACTCATCTCAATGAGTGATGAGCAGAATATTCTGATGATTTAATATGAAAATATGATAATCAAAATCCAGATGAGATATAGACAGAAGTGTTTTTTCACTTACCATCCTCAGCATTTGAATAATAGATAAAATCCTGCTGAGCCAAGCATCGGCACATGTGGTGATTCCATACATAGTTGGCCGGACAAGTTTTGTTGGCTGCTTGACACCTTTGGGGAAACAAATTAAACAGGAGCTAAACAACAGTGTAACTGGCAGATAGAAGTATAATTCTTTGCATGTGCATGTTACAAAACATGCTTACAGGAAAGCTTGAAAATATATAAGAACAGAGGAGATGAACCATCAATGTCTCCTCTCAAAGTATCCCCACCTGCTGCCAGCTTTTAATCTGAGTTTACCCTTGTAAGTTATGAGGTCAAAAAGGACTCCTGATTTACCCTTTTTAAAGGCAAGCAGGTTTCTTTGTATAATTATACATTGTTTTATCTTACTAAGAAATGCAATGAAGCCTTCTATATTACCCTGTAATTTCCTTTACCAAATAAAATATAAATTTCAGGCAACTCCAGAGGTCATTGGATAGTTTTTCTCTATGTAACTTTTAGTGGCTCTGCAAAATTTCATGAAAAGTTGTAATATGTATTATTTCTTATAATAACAATTTAAGTGGCTTTTAGCTTTTGCCTCACAAATCCTACTTGTTATGGTGACATTCACATACAAATACATTTACTGTCTTATTTCTGAAGCATAGAACCCATAGCTCTAATATCTCTTGATCAAGCATAATTTCCACTTTCCATTCCACCAAAAATATCCAAGAGCATGTTTTCTTGTATTTTTGTTTTCATAGCCATCTCCTTCCTTCTTTTCTTTCTTCTTATCCTCTATTCCTTCCTTCCTCCCTACCTCCTTTCAATAGTCATGATTTGTTTTAGAAAAAAAATTGAACAAATGGTCTTCCGTCAAGGACTTAAATTACTCTTTGGATGTTCCAATTATCTTGCCTTTGACTAACAAAAGCCCATTTATATTAATGACCACAACATTGGGCACTTTAGTGTAAAAGACCTCAGCTATTCACTGCCTCTACCTAGAGTGAACCATTTTTCACAGAGCCACAGTATTGCATATCATCATCATCGTCATCATCATCATAATCATCATCATCACTACTACTACTACTACTTTGGAAAATGACATTTAGAAACTATCATTTGGGATTAATCGTGTTCTGTGCCATTAGACTGAATTTCTCCTAGATCTTCTGAGTCAAATGCAGATGTATTCTGCAGCCTGTTCTCCTGGTGAATGTCTATTCAGGAGGCTCCTTGGCTTTTCGTACTCTAACTTGGAGAACATGCATTGATCTTTACTGCTTGACTTGTCAACAGACACTGGTGTGGACAACAAGGGCAAATATTTACTTAGATATCACACATCATTCATTTTTAAAGCAATATTATAAACAACAATACGCGGTGGAAGAATGCTGAATGAATTCCAAAATGTTACAACACAGAAATAATCTGTAGAAATCCTAAAAAGTAGACTGAAGACAAACAAATAGTCCATGTGCTTTGGACGTTGCTAAGACAAGTTACGTAGACTACTCAATGTGATAAAACACTCTCTTTCAATGACAGCCTAAGAACTACTGTGAAACTATACAAAGATCTTGTTTGGGGTTTTATTTGGCAGGAAAAGCAACTCTGAATTGTGTTTGTTTGGAAGCAGGCCCTCACTATGTAGTGTAAGCTGACTTTGGACTTGTGATCCTTGGCCTCCCCAGTGCTGGGATTAAAGACACACATCACCTCTGATGGTTTATCAATGTTTTCCTTTCCAGCAGTTTACAGGAATTCTAAGGAATGGTCTATTCATTATTTTCAATATGGCAGCCTGTCTAAAACACTCCATATTTTTCAGCCACACCATCACCTTTGGCAAATGGCACTGACTAATTTAATTTGGTTCACTTTTACTTTCTTTACTTCTCCCAAGGGTCATGGTTCCTTTAGGTTTGTGAGAGAGTCTATTACGGAGCTTTTCTTGATTTAGTTTAAGTTTGACTTTTTCTCCCTGTGTTATTTGCTATGTCATGGCAACTACAGCCTCTCATAGAGCATGAAAACAGTCCAGGTGATAACCTTGAAGCAAGTATATGTTAATGGCAGAAATAACAGATGCTATCAAAATAGTTTTTTTATACAGACACTGTAATTTATGGTAATTCATTAGAAATAAGCTATGCTTAAGGGTTAACTACAATTACTGTATTTTTTCATTTAAAATGAAATTAAACATGCTTGCCACATATATTTTTAGGAATAAACATGTGATCTTAAGCAAGATAAACATGTATGTATTTTTAGGCAAAAGGAAGATCAACTATTTCCAAAACCAACATAGGATAGCTAGGACTTTCAGTACACATATTTCACTTCATACTAACAAATTCCAGTGAAATATTTGGTCTCCAAGAATCTTTATACAAATAGTTGCTTGTTTTATCCTGGGTATGCTATATACCTTTTGTTTTTAATCTTAAAGATGTAACATCTCTAGTTACTTGTGTGATAATGAACTAAGACTATGAGAAATGTACGTTCATTCTGGTCCATATCCCCAGTGTGCTATCGCTTTTCTTACTACTTTTGTTTATATATTTCAGTCTTTCTTCTTGGAAGACAACCAAAAGTAAAAGTCAACAACAAGGCAACATGTTTAAACTTTGTCCACTTAGTATTTGCTGGAACATGTCATACTATCCTAAAATATTCGGTTAATTCTCAGGGAAAATCTCTGTCCATGACATTATTTTGTCATTGTGGTGGTTTGAAGGAGGGGTTCCCCATAAGTCCCAGATATCTGGATACCTGGTCTTCATTTGATAGATGTTTGGGGAAGATGTTTTTGGCATGCTAGAGGAAATGTCATTGGGGGCAGATACTGAAGTTTCAAAAGACTGATGCCATTTTGAGTTAGCTTTCCAATTCATGCATGTGGGTCAAGATCTTAGCTACTGCCCCAGAACCATGCTTCCATGATCCCCCATGAAGATGGCAATGGACTATTATCCCTTTGGCACCATAAATCCTCAAATAAATTCTTTTCTTTTTAAGCTGTTGTCTTGGTTATTTTATCACAGCAATAGAAAGTTACTAATACAGTCATTATTTTATTTTATAGTTTGGTCATGAATGTGTATTGTCCATGATAATTTTAAACAGTATTTATCAGTTTTCCAAACCAATAGTAATAATTTAGTATGTAAGTTCTAGCCAAACTTTAGTATCCTACCATGAAATAATCTTTATTATCTGTCTATATATAGTGATAGCACATATTGGTTATAGGTGGACACATATTGCTATGATGGCTGTAGAAATCACTTCTTTTTCATTTTGGCAATATGTAATTTATCCTACATTTGTCTGATGTGGTGTGTTTCTAGATGTTGGTTACAGCTGGAACATGGAACATGAAATTAATTGAAGAGTCAAAATGTACATTTTAAGCCCAATCAGATGACATATGGCACTAATTCCAGCACCCAAGATTCTAAGGAAGATGCATCAGGAGTTCCAGGCCATCGTCTTGGGCTATATAATAAGTTTGAGGCTAGTCTGTCCTATGTAAGAAAGCTTCTCAAAAAAAAAAAATCCAAATAAAGGCAAAGCCATATAGTCCCCAATGGAATGGCAAAGTGACATAGTAAAAATAAATTTCAACAGTTTTTTCTTTTCAGTTACACATAGATACAAACATGCATTAATATGTTCATACAAAGTCTCAGACACAGGTCCCCTCTCCCACTTGTGGTATGTATATATTTGGTTGCAGTGATTTTTTTTTCAGTCTAAATTTTTGACAAAACAAAGATCTAAGCTATTTAAATGGCAGAGTTACAGGAGTCCTCTCAGCATCTAGCCCTCAGTTATTGGGGCAATAAGGATCTCCCCTTTTAGGTGAGCTTGGGAGGGTTTACGCCTTTGTTCTGTCCACCCAGGCAGGTCTCCACCTTTAGTAAGCAGGAAAAGAAAACAAATTTCTTTCTTCTACACAGAGTTTTCATTTTTTATGGTACAGCATTCTCAAAACTATAAATTTATGAACTTTATGTGTAGACACAATTGCAGAGATTTACTTTGGGAAAGTTATACAAACATCCAGATACATATTTTCCTATGTAGTAAATGTAAAGTTCACATGATCTGGCTGTACCACCTCTTTTTCTTTTTTGTGCTCATGTGGAACAAAAATAGAAGCTTTGGCCAACACTTTCCATTATGTTATACCTGCAACATGCTTGACAACACACATTTCAGAGCAGTTAGTAATGGTTAGCTTAAAGGGAACTAACTGTTTTGGATTCTAATCATCTTGAAACACAATTTAAATTTCTAAAATATATGAGAAGTTTCACACAAATAAGAAAAGATTACTAATCATAAACATACTAATGTTGAAACCTGAAATTATGCTGGATATTATTGAATTGAAGAAACCACTATTGGGGTAAATATATTTATATAACTACTAAATGACACTCCCTCCTTCATATGCAAGAAGCAAAATCTTAGGATTCATAGCATACTATTCTAAAAATGAGGTGGAAACAAAATTTTTAAATGTTCCTATATTGTAATGAAAGGAAGTAGTGTCAGAATAGATAGAAGGATCAGCACAATGTGCTTATAGGCCTTAGTTTTCAATCTTCAAGGCATTTTCATGAAATTGATATTCAAAAGTAATGAATGATTAACATGCATATATATTTTTATAAATAATATATTTCATGTGCTACATTTGCAAAGCATATTACTTGAAGCATACACTTTCTGCAAGGCATAGAATAACTTTTCATGTAGATTTATGTTGGGAACCATGTAAGCAAATAAAAGTTTCTCACTTTCCCCTTTAAACAGAATTTGTAACTTTTATGAAGGATAAAGTTGCTTTTATAAGAATTATTTCATTATTTGAAAACTTCCTTGACAGATTTGCTAGCAATTGATTTTGCTGTTTGAAATAAGTGGTCATGAATTCAAGGCTCTATACATTTCTCAATGGGAGAAAATGATGTGTTCAATGATAAAGTCAATTTATTAGTCCATTTACATTTCTGAAAATTTAGAAAGATGTATGCATTCTGGGTAGACTAATTCTAAATGTTGGGTAATAATTAGTAGCTCCTACAGTT